TGTCCATCAGTTGACGAATGGTTAAAAAAAGCTGTGGTACTGCCCTGGCCAGTTTGGCTCAGCGGTTAGAGCGTCGGCCTGCGGTCCGGAGAGACCCGGGTTCGGTTCCCGCTAAGGGCACGTACTTCGGTTGCAGTTTGTCCCCGGCCCTGGTTGGTCGTGCGGGTGGCAGCCACTCGATGTGTCCCTTCATGTCGATGTTTCTCTCTCTCTCTCTCTCTCCCTCCCACTCTATCTGTACAAAAAATGGAAAAATATCCTCGGGTGAGGATAAAAAAAAAAAGCTGTGGTACATATACACAATGGAGTACTATGCAGCTGTAAGAAAGAAAGATCTCTTATCCTTTGAAACGACATGGAGGGACCTGGAGAGTATCATCCTGAGTGAGGTAAGCCAAACAGAGAAGGACAAGTATCATATGATCTCACTTATTTGTGGAATATAATTAACATAACAGTCTGAATAATGGGGTAGTCCCAGATACGTGGAAGTGGGGTACAGACTGACAATCCCCAGAACAGGGGATGGTGTGGGAAAGATAAACCACAGAACTTATATGCATGTATGCATGAACAAAGGTCATGGACAACAAAACTGGGGACAGGGTGGTGAGGGAGGGAGAGGGGGTAATCAGTGGGGGGAAAAGGAGAAACATCTGTAACAAAAATTAATTAATCATTTTAAGAAAAAAAAAAAAACAGTGGTTATCTGTGGTTCAAAAAAATATATCCCTATGTATAGCATTTGTTTATTTCTGTGTTCTAAATACAGAGTGAGGCAAAAGTAGGTTTACAGTTATTTGTATTAATAAATAATAAGACAACAATAAACTCTGTTGAGCATACTCATAACTGTAGACCTACTTTAGCCACACCCTGTCTTCCCACTGTGACCAATTTTAAGCTATCAACGGGGCATTACTAAATCAGAGTTGGAAAGAGATGCACACAATTTTTTCTCACAAACTAGTACCCAGCTCCAGGCACCCCAATGAGGACAGGACTTCAGAGGACTCAGGATGCTGCTGCCTCAGTAGATAATACCTAAGGTTGATAGTGGCCAACCTTCATTATTTCAATTACAGTTCATGGCCCATGAGGCCATTGGAGGAATCTTCCTTCTCCTCTGGCCCATATGGAGCACTCTCATCTAGCTTTGGAACAAAGGATTGTGTTAAGCAGCCTCTAAAACGTCCTGATTATTCCTATTTTCTTGTATCCACACCCTTACATAATCTCCCTCACACTTGATTGTGGGCTGAGCCTAGTTACATGCATTCAACAAGTAGAATTTGACAAAAGTGATGAGCTATCACTTAAAAAATTAGGTTTCAAGAAGACTCTGGTTTCTCTCTTGTTGACCTATCTTGCTCTCTCACTTGCTGTGATGAAGCCAGCTGCCATACTGTGAGCTGTGTATGGAGAAACCCACATGACAAGGAACTGAGGAAGGCTTCCAGCCAATAGCCAGCAAGGGACTGAGACTATTAAACTGTCCACCAAGGTCTAAATGCTGCCAATTAACTAGGTGAGTAAGTCTGGGTGGTATTCATACACAGTCTACCCTTAAGGTAGCCTCTTGAGAAAGCATAAGTCAGAGAACCCAGATAAGCCATGTCTAGATTCCTAGCCCACAGAAGCTATGAGATTCTAGCTGTTTGCTGTGTTAAGCTGCCAAGTTTGGCAGTAATTTGTTGCCACCTAGTCTATAGTTTTTTGTTATGGCAGCCCACCTGAGCAGACTAATATACCAGGATTCTTTTCAAGTTCAGCAGGAACCTAAGCTACTGAATGAGAAACAGATATGACAAAACAGAGATGGTTTGGGTACCAGTTTCAGGTAGAATCAAGGTTGCAGAATTGGTCACTCAGGAAGAAGTCTTATTTAGATCAAGCAATTAAGCTACTCATATAAATTTCCAGCTTGTCCAAACTTCTGTTTTCTGGCTTTGGAGGGAACTCCTAAATTATTCATATATTGCTATGCAACAAATTACATTATACTAAAACAGTGTTTCATCAAAGACAAAGAGAGAATTTTTAAAGCAGCATCATGACTGCACCACATACACCTTCTAAGACCTAAACTTGGACTTCTTGAAATTTCAGTTGCCTCAAACCTCTTCCAGACCAGAGTCACCTCACCACTGAGAACTCAGTTTTAAGATTACCCTTATGTTCTCTCCTGCATTCTTGACTTCAAAATAAAATCTGCTCAAGTCAAATATAAATATATATTATATAAATAAATATATAGTTTCCAACTTGAAGGATTGTTGTACACTCAAATGAGTTCATATAAGTGAATGCAGCATAAGTATCTGACGGTAGTAGCTGTAGTTGTAGTAGTATAAAGAGCTTTGATAGAAATTGTGACCAAGCCCTGGCCAGTTTGGCTCAGCGGTTAGAGCGTCGGCCTGCGGTCCGGAGAGACCCGGGTTTGGTTCCCGCTAAGGGCACGTACTTCGGTTGCAGTTTGTCCCCGGCCCTGGTTGGTCGTGCGGGTGGCAGCCACTCGATGTGTCCCTTCACGCCGATGTTTCTCACTCTCCCTTCCTCTCTCTCCCTCCCATTCTATCTGTACAAAAAATGGAAAAATGTCCTCGGGTGAGGATAAAAAAAAAAGAAAGAAATTGTGACCAAAATGACCCAACATCCCAAGATAAAAAGACCAAATGTCATGACAAGTAATTCACAGTAATTAGCTAATATACACCAATTTTTGCCTAACATATGCCAGTTGAGCTAAGATTTAAAAACATGGTAACAAGCCAATTCTGGTGAAAGTATGTGGAAACTAACATTCTCATCCAACATTAGTGGGACTAATATGTAGTGCAAACATTTCTGGCAGGCAATTAATCTCTATGTATCAAAAAGCCTTCAAGGTATTCACAGCCTAGAGAACAGCAATTCTACTTTTAGAATGTTATTAAGAGAAACAATCATGGATAGTCCTTATATTTAAATACAAGGAAGTTGAACAACTTTTTTCATAATAGCAAAAACAACTAAATGCCCAACACAAGTGATTAGGTAGATATATTGCATGTTGGTCATATAATAAAATAATTTTTTTTTTTTTTGGTATGTGCCCCTAGCGGGAACCAAACTTGGGACTCTGGTCTGCAGGCTGAAGCTCCAACTGCTGAGCCAAATCAGCCAGGATATAATGAAATAATTGAAAACAATTAAATTTTCCATATTATCCTTATAATATTCTATATTTTCATAATATAATAAAATGTAATATTCTATATTTGTAATACAATAAAATGTGTTACTGTGTAAACAAAGAATAGTTAACGATATAGAAAAATATCCAAAATATTTTGTTAATTTTTAAAAACAGGTTATAAAATGGGGTAAACAAAATTACCCAGTCTTTGAGAGTGTATGTTTTTGTGTATAATGGCACAAAGTGTGTTTGAAGAGATGTTTGCCAGCGCCCATCATGGATTTCACTGTGGAGACTCCTGTAAAGTATGCCCAGCTCAGAAATCATCAAATGCTCAGAAGGCAGGACTACTGTTTTACAAAGAGCAAGTCCAATGCTATACAAAGTAGAAGAATAAAATGTTAGTAGAATAGCACTGAACATGTTGTTTCAGGGAAAATAAGAAGTAATGCTTCCTTTGGCAAAATGTTCTTGCTTCTTAAGTAACCACTGAGGAAATCTCCTACAGTTCTTCTAGCAAGAAGAGGGGGCCTTTTATTGAAACACCCATTGTCTCCTCTTCATGGGACCAAAACCCACCTCTGCACTTCAGAGACAGCAAGAGAATAATCTTAGCATCGGCCAACACTCATGGAGCAGAAACTTAGAAGGATGAGGTTTCCCAAGGAGAGTTATAGAACCAAGAAACTAAGCTCTGGGAGGAAGACAATGAGCATTGAGAGAAGACGGGGCTGTATTTCATCTCAACCTGCAGCAGTACCCAAATTTGAAAGAGCTGCCTCCTCCACACTGAAGGCTACATTTTCTGCAACCCTATCCCTGATGCCTGCAGTCCTCTGGCTCAGTGGAAGCCAATTTTCAGGGAGGAACTAAAGAACACATGAGAGAGAAAAGGCACCCTACAGAATTCACAACAGATCCTAGGGAGTGGAAAGGACCGGTCAGGACCTCAACAAGGCAGGGAACAATTCACAAGAACTGGAGCAGAAACTTAGGAAACTTTATATAACCGATGCTGTGTATCAGTTAATCTCTATAAACAAGAGATCCCCTCTCATGGCTGCAGAGTCCTCTGCTCTACATCAGACACCTGGTAAGAATAGGTGAGCCAGGAGGCAAAGCCTCTCACAGAGCTCAGTGCTGGGCAAACTCTGTAGTCAAACAGAGAGGAGGCTGTGGGACTGAAAGAGAGCAGCCAGAGAGAAGCAAGCAGGTGCAAGATTATCTATGATCTGGTTACATAGAGTTTACATGACACCCCAAAAGTGTGGGCACTGTGTATTCCACAGACCAACTGACTTAATCACTTCTCAGATCCCTGTTCCTCTCACACAGACAGCCTTTCTGCACTCCTTACACATCCATCACATCTACTACACACACACGCACAGCCTAAAAGAGCATAAATACATAAAACACTGAAATCCTCATGGGGCAGTCAGTCAAATGGGGCAGTCAGACAAAGTTGGCAAATGAAGTATGCCAAGAAACAGCCCAGAGACCCAGCCGAGGTTAATTGCTGGTCCTTCCCACACACTGGTCAGTTGCCAATGGGACAAAACAGATGCTCCTTAAAAACAAGGAGACATAGAAGAGGACTAAAACCAACTCACCTGTCTGCAATTGGGTATCATTTCTTTGAAAAACCTGCCTCTATGACCAGTTGAAACCCCACAAGAGAACTGATATTCACAATCACTGTGGTTCCTTTTTTGGTCAAAAACGTGGTCTACCCTGAGGCTTTGGCTCCATAACTCCTGGGATCTTTCCTTTGCCAAGGTGTCCACTACTGTTGATACCAGGAAAGAAAGGCAACCCTTACTTTGAGAATCCAGCACAGTGCTGAGGAGGAGAAAGCAGATTCCCTGAAGACAGAGATGTCCATTCGAAGGCATCTTGACTCCTATGTCATCAAGGTCACAATCCCAGCTGCAAAATAACCCTGTGAGGAGGCATCAGCATACCGACAAAGGTTTTCAACAAGGAGGAAAAATATACTGACATCCTCTCTACTGAGAGCCAATAGAGATAGCTTTTACCATTTCAGATGCTATCGGAGACTTTTTCTGCCACCTTCTGAAGCTCAAACACCAATTAGATTCTGAATTTTCAGTATCTCCTTATATGAGCAACATGGTCCTTTGACATCATGTTTCCTTAGGTCCCTGAGAACCAGGCCCCCGTGATCACCGCTAGGGTAGAAAAGTTGCATCAGAAAGCATGAGTGGCTCTCTTTCCATCAATAGTCCTGGCTGATCACTGCCTACTGTGAGATCTTTCAGGGTCATAGTGCTTCGATCAGTTACCTTTTGGCCTGTGGGAGGATGTCTTTGTTGTAATCAGCGTTGTTCTTCCCTGCAACTGAGCTCATGGCTGAAGCAGAGAACCACAAGGAGACTTGAAATATGAGAATAATTATCAGGCCAGTAGAAAATGAGGACCAGCAGGTATTCACAGGTGAATGTGGAGCGGGTAAGGGGGGAAGCATCAAATGGGGGGAGGTTATTATTGGTCTCTCTTTTTTCTCATAATGATCTGGAGACTAGGAACCTGGAACAGAGGGGCTCATAATGACAACGAGGCTTCAACAGAATCTGACTTTTCCTCCTCAGAGATCTTTCTTAACCCCTAAGACCACTCTGTCTAGCCCACACATGTCACCTGGGGCTAAATTTTCCTTCTCAGGGATAAGGAGGAGCTATAGTCTACAGGGTATTTACAGATCTCCTCCTCTCTCTGCAGTCCTTCCCTGAGAGCTGGTGCTCAGGAGTCAGAGTTCATCAGCCAATCGGATAATCTACTTGTACCATTTTTCTTCCTGCATCCACCCTCCCACACGTTTGGAACCTCTCTTAATTCATAGCTTGGTGTAGTATACATTTTAACCCGAAGTTCATCTTACTCTTGCTATCCCTGATATATGTACTAATTCTCTTTTCATTATTAATGGTTTTACTGTGAGTCACACCAGAGAAAGGAACAAGGGGAGATAGAAATACCAAATGCTCATAAGATATAAATTTTACTAAAGTAAAATTTGTGAGTTACTGTGCTTAGCTTATAACACACAATCAGCTAGCATTTACTAAGCATCTTCTCTACATCATTGCTCTAAGCACTGTGCCATGGTTGGAAATAAAACAGTGAGCAAGACAGACAATATCCCTGGGCTCATGGATTTCACAGTCTAGCTGCTGGTGAAAGACTATATATATATTTAACAACATATATGAAAAGGCTATAAAGAAAAGATACCAAGAGTAAGAGAGGTTATAATATGAAGGGAAATTGCAAGGAGGTTGAACCCCGCCAGGGGAGGCTTCTCTGAGAAGGGATATTGAAACTGATAACTGATGGAATTGGAGTTTACCAGGAAACTCAAGACCATGAACTCACACCATGGCCCCTCCCTAGGCCCTGGTAAGAACTCCTTTTCTAAATTTTTACATACTGAAATTCTATTGTTCTACTTCTCTCTCTTATTTTAACCATACCTATTCTTCAACTTTTCAATGCCTGTACTCCCTTGGATCCCTTGCTATGCTTGAGATAGAATGCACTAAAAATTGAAGAAAGAAATAAAGATTAGGTTATCAAGAGATGTATTTGAGTTCACTGGGGTATAACTATCTAGAGCCAACCCTCAGGCAGGGTCTAGAGCTTGAAATAACTGAGTTGACATTGTTGAATTTATTGGGAATGGTGAGCAAGAGGGACAGGGAAACTACCATCTTCTTCACCGTCCACATGTAAAATGCTACAAGTGGTGCTACTTTATCACTACTGTTTCCATTTTTCACTGTGATTCATGACTTCTCATAGACCAGTGCTTTGGTGCAGTAATGGGAGTGGAGATTCAGAAAGTTCCACACAGTAGGAGCCTCAAAAAAAGGGAGAAAACACATGAAATTCTCAGGTTGAGACAGAAACTACTACAGAGGACAAAGACAGCTATAAAAATTGTACAATCCAACCAGGAAAAAAAATACATAACCAGTGGAAATCTATCTGATGGAAGAAAAATTGCAAACACTACCTCTATTCAACTGGTAGACTAAGAGTAGAATGAACTCGGTCAAGCTGATTCACTGACACCTTCCATTGTCAATAGGTGCACTATTACGAGAAGCTGTCCCTTTGTCCACTTAGCAGGCATCAAAAAAAAAAAAAAAAAAAAAAAAGGGAAGCTCTCTGTCAAGCAAAGTTTCAAATTCACTGTTTCTCTTCCTTTCAGGATTATTTGATGCTATTTCAAAATCACACAGAATCTTTGTCCTCCAGCCAACAGATTGACAACACAACCTTCTTTTTTTTTTTTTTTTTTTAATCCTCACCGCAGGACATTTTCCCATTTTTTTGTTCAGGTAGAGTGGGAGGGAGAGAGAGGAACAGAGAGAGAGAGAGAGAAACATCGACGTGAAGGGACACATCGAGTGGCTGACACCCACACGACCGACCAGGGCCGGGGACAAACTGCAACCAAGGTACATGCCCTTAGCGGGAACCGAACCCGGTCTCTCCAGACCGCAGGCCGACGCTCTAACCACTGAGCCAAACCGGCCAGGGTGACAACACAAGCTTCTTACTCTAGCTCACCCTTCATTGATTGTTTCGTCCTCATTGTCACCCACAGAGTAATTGGAATGTTCTCTGCCTGATGGAAGTGAAGGCATGGGATCTTGACATTGTATCTATTCTGTTCAGAGTCCTCTTAACATTCAGTCCCAAGTTTCATTAGCTCAGTACCCCCTACACAGGTAGCTATAAACCTTGGGCTCCATTGATGGTTCTCTTGTGCTCCAGTATCTGAAGATGAATGCAGAGACCCAGCCTACGTCTTCCTGGATTAATTGGAGTTACTTCCTGCACCACTACTGCTGCAGTCCCACTCCAGCTTTAAGCATGGGTCAAAGGCAGAAAGACCCCGTGGACAATCAGGCAGCAATTTTATAGCCTTTTCTTTCCCTCTGATTCACAGAGTTTTAGGGTGGACCCTAAGGCCTTCACTTCCATCAGGCAGAGAACATTTCAATTACTCACTTCCATGCTTCAGCCATTTTTCCTCAGCAGTCATTTTCTCCACATCCAATCAGAAGAGGGAAATGATAAGGCTACCACATCAGGTTTTGTGGTAAAAGAGAAAGAAAGAAAGAAAGAAAGAAAGAAAGAAAGAAAGAAAGAAAGAAAGAAAGAAAGAAAGAAAGAAAGAAAGAAAGAAAGAAAGTTTTTAGGACTTTGTAACTATTTCTGTTAGGAGTCAGTCCAGCCCTGGCCGGTCGTTCAGTGGTTAGAGCGTGAGCCTGAAGACCAGAGAGTCCCAGGTTCGGTTCCTGCTACCTCAGTTGCAGTTTGTCCCTGCCCCGGTTGGGGTCATGTGGGTGGCAAACAGTCGATGTGTCTCTCTCACATTGATGTTTCTCTCTCTCTTACCCCCCTCCCTTCTGCTCTATCTGAAGATAAATGCAAAAATGTCCTCAGGTGAGGATAAAAAAAAAAGAGTCAGTCCACACCTTCGATGGGATAGAGTCCACACAGCCCTATCTTTACTTTTGTGGAGTTTATGGTATTGAGTAAGGCCTATTTTCTCATTTAGTTACTCAAAGGATTGAGATCTAAAATGGGAGTGGAGAGACAGGCCTTGAGCTAGAAGAAAACAATTCATTGTTCTCAGGGATGAGAGGGATGAATATGTACTGATGCTGCGGCAAACGCTTTTGTAGTGAAGGGAGAAGATAATTTACTAAATCATTGTCTAATAATTTTACTTCTCAGTGAAATATAAGGCAAAGACACTATACAAAAGTTAATCATTAATAAAGGCTTCGAAGAAAGAAGCAAAGTTTGCAATTTCCCCTGATGGAAATGAGAGACAAAATCATATTGCATTATTTTTTTTTTTTAATCCTCATCCGAGGACATTTTTCCATTTTTTGTACAGATAGAGTAGGAGGGAGAGAGAGGAAGAGAGAGAAAGGGAAACATCGATGTGAAAGGGACACATCGAGTGGCTGCCACCCACACGACCAACCAGGGCTGGGGACAAACTGCAACCGAGGTACATGCCCTTAGCGGGAACCGAACCTGGGTCTCTCTGGACCGCAGGCGGACGCTCTAACCGCTGAGCCAAACCGGCCAGGGCCATATTGCATTATTCAATGTATCTGTTAGAAGTCTGAGTTTCCAGAGTTAGAAACCCCAAAACCCACCTGTAAACAGTCAAATACAAAATTTATTGGAAAGACCTGGGGCAATTTATTGAAATATTAAACCAAAGGAAGAGCTTCTTGGTTGGAAAGCTAGGACCAACCATTTCCAGGAGTCTCTGCAATGGTGCCCCCATCTGTCTTTGTTCTTGCCCAGCTCCATTCTTTTCAACTGCAGACCATTTCTATTCCCTTCTCACCCAAGAGGCAAAGGGGAGTCTCTCCTTTTAGCTGCAGATTGACAAATCCAGAAGAGGACACTGTCTGGCCTGGCTTGAGTCTTGTGCCCATCCCTGGACCAGGAACTATGCTCAGAACGACGAGCTGCTCTGTATGGCTGAGCCTGCGTCAGGTGTTCAGAGTCTGGAGTATATTACCACAAGTTAAGAGTAGTAATAAATGACAAGAGGGTGGACAGGATCATTCTATGCACAATAATATTGTTATCCTTTTGAACTCCTGAACCCAATTTCAATGTGCAGTGGGTGGGGGTCTTCCCACTCAACACCAACCAATTCTCTGACATCAGCAGAGTGTTCAAGAATTCTGCTCTTCTGACACTATCTACGTGGAGATAGCATCAGATTGCACAGGTTAAGGATTAATTCCTACAAGACTTCCCACACACACACACACACACACACACACACACTTTAATCCTCACCTGAGGATATTTTTTCATTTATCTTCAGATAGAGTGGGAGGTGGGGAG